TCTTCATGTACCAGGTCATGTACCGGTATCCTCGTACTTCCATGTTTGTACCTGGCATTTCGACAAATCAACTGGCAATAAAATAAATCTTGGCATGCGTCAGGTCCCAACAACCGCGTGTGAGGATCCCAGCAACTACTTGTATCATGTGCATACAGCAGCTGTTATTCCATGCGAGCACAGGTGGCCATTCTGTCGCGGTGTAGCCTACGCGAGATTACCAAGCTTCGTGTAGTAGGGGGTACGGTGTTGGGTTGGGGAGTTAGGGTTGCGAAGCCCCCCGCTCTATTTCGAAGATTCTGTGAGACGACAATATCCTCGCGAAGGCGGCCCTTCTGTCTCGATGCTGCCGAAATCTGTAGACCATGATCGTGGTGCAGCAGTAGTGCTTCTTAGGAGAGTGGTGTGCCTGCTGTACGATGTATCAGCCATCGCGTGCCCAACGCGCAAACAGCGGCATGCGCCCAAGGTGCGGCGCGGCGCGGTACGTGATGGGACATGTTGTCTACAAGTTCACATTTTCGTCACCAGGACAGACTACAGCAGTAACCCCCTTCCACTTATTGCAAAATATGATGAATACACAGGCTTACCGATAGAAATGTCGGGTTTTATTGTGCAACATAGATGTGTTCGTGTGTCTCGACCAGATGTGCGGACTGCGACGCGGAGCTGACGGACTACGGTAACATCTGGGCCAGCGTGGACCAGGGCTGCTTCGTGTGCGTGCACTGCCTGGCGGTGCACCGCTCCCTAGGTTTCCGCACGAAGAGCGTGAACATGGACTTCTGGGCGGTGGACGAGGTCGCCCGGATGACTTCCATGGGCAACGTCAAGGTGGATATGCCCTCCGCCCGCCCGCCCCCATGCGATTATGCTTTCATGTAGATACGACGGGGTTGCAACAGCAGGGGTTTATGTTTGCGCACGATTTCCTCGCTTGGCGTAAAACCATCTGCGAGGTTGTTTGTGGCACGTGTACGCGAGTTGCACAATCCTAGCCCTTTTCGACGTGGCCCTTGGCTGGCGATCTGATCGATGGCGACGCAAATGACATGTACTGAAGCGTTTTTATGGGATTGTATTATGTCTTTTGCAATTGTTTATATTGTTTTTTTGCTAAAACGAAGGGAGCTCTTCACGCACGGACTCCTACTATAGATGCGTGCTAAACGCGCGCACCGCCGACGTCGCGCTCAAGTTGCTCCGCTGCCACCGGCTGCTCCGTCTCGACTCGCTCTCTCTATGTGTATACTTACAATATAGAGAAGTATATCTCTATCTCTCTCACACACTCACTCACTCACTCACTCACTCCCGGCCCCGGTGTTGCCGGGATGTATTCCGACGACGGCGTTGGGGTGGTCGGTCAGGTCAACGAGATTTACGAGCGCTACGTGCCTAGCAGCTGGACCAAGCCCACCCCTGACGCAGACCAACACCAAAGGGAGCAGTGGGTTCTCGCCAAGTATAAGCACAGGTGGGTGACCAGGAATTTCGTTTTGCAAAGTGTGTTGTACCCACCCCGCTAGTGAGTCGACGCCGTTGCCCGGAGTCCAAGTTTCGAAACTCTCGCTGTCTTTTACTGTGATTTTACGGTTGTGGGAGTTCTACGTGTGGTGTGTTGGTCAATCTTTGGCGTGCCTGTTCTTCGCGCGGCGTGTATATGTATGCACGAAAGGTAAAGGCTGGATGATAGGCACAGCAGTATTTCGGAACGGCATCCCAGGAGTTTCGCGGCATACGCAAACAAACGCATCTCGAGACAACACAACGAAACAAATGCCTTGTGACTTCGTGTTTGTGCAGATCGTTGGCCGTGGATGGTGTCGTCTAACCGTAGGTTGTTGCCAGTTGTGCTCGATACGTCACGCCGTACGGACGTTACTTACTATAGTTTACGCCGACCTGTACTATTTTCCGCCCCACTCACATGTACTACCTTCGTTCGCGATCCCCCCCGCAGTATGTAGCGACCCTTTTTGTCTTAACTTAGTAAGCATCGAAGGCGTGTATCGGCTGACCAATGAATAGACGTCTTGGCTCTTGTTCTAGCGGGGCAAACCCGAAGCACGCTGTAAATACATGTGTGTGTTATTACTAGCGTTCGACCGTGCTAACCGGCTGACCAATGAAAACACGTCAGTCTCAGTGCGGTTCTGTGCGTATGTGTGCGTGCGCTTGCCGCGAAAACATCAGGTACTTCATGCTCCCCCACTACGGCAAAGAGGGGGGCGAAGCCACGGGGTACCAGAGCCCGGCGTCCTTGTCCCAGACCCTGCCGATACGCCTCGTCGACTACTTTGTAAGAACAAGTACTCCCTAGGCGCCGTACGCCTGCCTTGTCGACTCTTGCCTCGTCAGTGTGTACATAGGCTGCGATTTGATCGGCCACTACTGCTGTGGCAGACCTTTGAGGGTCGCCGTAGTGTGCCCTTTTAGTTGTGTCGGGGGGGGGGGG